TCTAATTTCACCCCTAATGAGCCCCTGCTAATCTGTGGATACTCATGAAAAGGAGGAAAAAAGGAGACTGAAGATAAACAGTGCGGAACAATACAGTTGGCCTGGGTTACGGAAATCTGGCGACCCAAGCCCCTGGTTGGGAGTTGGAGCTGCCAAGCAGTTGGCTTTGAGGAAAGCGGTGTGGGATTTGCTGATTCTTAGGGGACCACAACCTCCAGGCCCGCTCCAAGCCCAGGGGTGCCCTTACCGTGCCCACTGTGCCCAGGCTTCTCTGTAGGAGCAGAAAGACTGCATCTCACAGGGTGTCTCAAGGATGTGACCTTATGTCTGTGACACGCTGCTGGATAGTGCTGATGGCCTGGCAAGTAGGTTGGTGGTAAGAAAGAAAAAAAGCATACAGCGGTTCGGTGGGCTGCCTTGCAAGTGCAAGGACCTGAGTTCAATCCCTGGTACCCAAAAAAAAAAAAAAAAAAGCCTAGCCAGGCTTGGTGGAACAAGCCTATAATCCCAGCACTCGGGAAGCTGAGGCAGGAGGATCGGCTCCTGTGTGAGGCCAGTCTGGGCTATGTAGTAGGACCCTGTCTCAAAAAATAAGAAGAAGAAGGAAAGAAAAGAAACCTGGCTGGTTTGTGGTTTTTTTTTTTTTTTTTTTTTGGTTCTGGGGATCGAACTCAGGATTTTGTGCTTGCAAGGCAGGCGGTGGCACCACTGAGCTAAATCCCTGGCAAGAAACTTGGTTTTTAGATGAGAAATCTGCATTTTCTAGTTATTGGCAACTACTTCTCTTGAACAACTGTAGCTATGACAATGTGCTATTGAGAGCCAAGTGAACATTTCCATGAGCTAAGAGCTGCCAGGAGATTAAGGCCCTGGGGCCCCGCGGGGAACCTTTGAACGAGGTATTTTCAGCCTTTGGAGAGGAGCCAGCAGGATGCGGCCTTGAGCATTAAAGAGGGAGGAGCGGAGGAGCGGAGGAAAGGGGCCCAGAGACCGAGCAAACGGACCGTTGGCTGCCACCCCGCGCCTGTCTGGGCCGCCTGTGTGGCCGTCCTGCCACGGGGACCCAGCAGGCAGGACTGCGGGCCGGGAGCCGGAGAGCCGCCCTCTGAACGTGCACCTTGGCTCCTCGGGCCACGCGGGAAAGCGGCCAGTTCTCGGGTTAACTTTAACCCGTAGGTAAACGAGCCGCACCTCCGCCGGCCTTGGCCAGCAGCCCCATTGGTTGTGCAGGCTCAGGAGGCGAGCTGGCCGTTTACCCCGAGGAGGGAGCAGCCCAAGGTCAGGCTTTCGTGTTCCTTCTTTCTCTCACACATAGCCAACAACCGGCCTCTTTCTCCTGGAAGACTGGTTTGCCAGACCCCGCCTGATCCGTCGGTGTTCTGAGTTCAGCTCTGCCCTTCTGCGTTGGCCTCATCCTAAAGGCAACTGGCTGCAGAGGCCGCCCTCTTCTGAAAGAGAGAGGAAAACAGTCAGGTGCGGTGGCGCACGCCTGTGATTCCAGCACTAGGGAGGCTGAGGCAGGAAGATCCGGTCTAGTTTTGAGTCCAGCCTGGCTACATAGTGAGTTCAAGGCCAGCTTCGACTACATAGGGAGACCCTGGCTCAAAGAGAGACAGAGACAGAGAGGAGGGAAACAGGCTGATCCTTGGCCAGTGTGTGATTCTGCCTCCCGCCTGGGGCGGCTGTGACCATTCAGTGAGAAGATGTATGTGAATATTCTTTGGAAGCCCCACTGTAAGTGCTTACCGTGATATTATTGGCAGGTAGCTTTCATAGTTACAGCCCCACCTTGGCAGCAAATTAGGTTTGGGAAAAGGCCCGAGGGTGGGTATGGGCATAGTAATGTAGGGTTGAATGAATGTCCGGAATTAGCAAGTTTGGGTACAGAGCAGGGAGGATTCCCCAGGGACCCCAATAATCACATGCTGCTGATAGTATTTAGTTCAAATTATTGGGATCCTCCTGAGAAACAACATGATTATTTTATGCACACCCCAGAAGCTATAATTTTTACATTTATTAGCCCTGTAATATGCTTTTAAGAAAATAATTTCATTGGGAGGCTGAGTCAGGAGGATTCCCGAGACTTCGAGGCCAGCCTAGGCTAGTGAGTTCAAGGTCAGCCTGAATTACATAGCAAGATTCTGTCTCAAAAAACAAAAAAATCCAAGGGGTTGGGTATTTAGCTCAGTGGTGCTGCCACCTGCCTTGCAAGCGCAAGGACCAGAGTTTGATCCCTGGTCAAAAAAAAAAAAGAAATAAAAGCCCTTTATATATTATTTTAACTATTTTTTGTTTTGTTTTTTGAGAAAGGATATTACTATGTAGGTGAGGCTGGCCTTGAACTTACTATGATGTCCAGGCTGTCATAGGACTCAGTGATCCTCCTGCCTCAGCCTTCCAAGTGCTGGGATTATAGGTATGCAGCACCACATCCCTTCATTTGTTTTTGTTTTTGTTTTTTTTTTGAGACAGGGTCTTGCTATGTACCCCTTGCTGGCCTTGAACTTTCGATCTTCCTACTTCAGCCTCCCAAGTGCAGGATCATAGGCATGCGCCCCCACACCTTTCTCATGAAAATGTATGTTTCAGAGTTATTTTTTAAATATCAAAATCATATTTCCAACAGTCATGCAGTGGTTGGTTAAATCCAAGCACATTCCCTCCGTGAACTTGCACAGCTATATAAAGCCAGCAGCATGCTATTTATTTAGTTATTTATTTGCAATAGTGGGGATTGAACCCTGGGCCTTTGCACTGAGCTACATCCCCATACCTTTTTTGTTTTGTTTTGGAAACAGGGGTCTCGTTACATAGTTCAGGATGGACTTGAACTCACTGTGTAGCCCAGGCTGGCCTCAGACTCTTGGGGGTCCTCCTGCCTCAGCCTCCTGGGGTGATAGGTGTGCGCCACCACACCTGACAACTAAGCACAGTCATAAGGAGTCATGAGGCAGGGACACAACTCCATTTTTTTTTTCTTTTGGTACCAGGGATCAAACTCGGGACCTTGTGCTTCCAAGGGCAGGCGGTGGAACCACTGAGCTAAATCCCCCGCCCTCAACTCCATTAAAAAAAAAAAAAAAAAATGATCTTTGAAATGTCAAGCAAACGTCAGAGAAGTCTCTTGGGATCGGGGAGGATGAGGACTTGTTTGGACTGCGGTGTATGTGTGTTATAATTTTGTCTTGTTTTTAATTTATTCTTGTATTTGTGGGTCCCCCCGCTGCCCCGCCCGGCACTGGGGAGCGAACTCAGGACCTTGTGCTTGCAAGACAGGTGTGGCACCACTGAGCTAAATCCCCAGCCCTAGTGTGTTGTGTTTTGAGACAGGGTCTTGCTATGTAGCTCAGGCTGGCCTTGGATTCACTATGTAGCCCAGGCTGGCCTTTAACTTGCAGGGATCTTCCTGCCTCAGCCTTCTGAATGCTCGGGTTACAGGCGTGCGCCACCACACCCGACTGTTTCTGTTTCCAGAGTGGGTGGTGGGGAGACTTAGAGTCTTCTCTGAGCTTGGGTGCCTGCCTGACCCCTGTCCTTACTCAGCTTTAACTCAGCTCTAGATTGCAGGCTGGCTGTGCTCACTGGTTCCAGCTCCCTCCGCCCGGCAGGCCTGGGTCTCAGGGCTCGCTTGGAGCTGTCCCCAGACACCCACTCGTGTTAATAATAAGATTGTTTACCAGCCAGAGCCATGCATAGCATCTCGGCCTGCTACTGAAATCCCCGGAAGGTCAAAAGCCTGAGCTGAGAAAGTCCCCAAGGTCCGACCCCCGCCTCAGTGGCTCACGGTGCAACCAGCTCTATCCCGATCTTGCACCCACGGTGGAGGCGGGGGCGCAGGTACCAAAGGGCCACCTGTCTCCGGGTCCGGAACCCGGGTTCACCGCCCACCCCCCAAGCGAGGGAAGGGGTCCCCCTGCAGGTGGATCCGTGTAACTGCGGCTCCCTTCGCCCTCTCTCCAGGGTGGGCTGGGATTTCCCCAGTGGCTCGACCCAGGCCAGGAAAATTCTCCAGTGCCTGACTTTGCAAGGTGAGGAGGGGGCTGCCTCCGAAGACAGGGAGGACGGCGCCATGGAAGATCTGAAAGAAATCATCACCCTGGCCTTCGTGAGGGAGAACTCGCAGAAGGGGCCTCAGAGCGGCCAGCCACACTGCAAGAAGAGGAAGAGGAAAAAGAGGTTAGGGTTGAAAGGTGGGAGATGGGGTCCTGGGGGTTAGAATAGGCAGGGCCTGGGGGTGGGGCTGGGCTGATAACCGGCAGGTAGAGGAGAAAATGGGTGTGGAGACTGACACAGTGACACTGCTTGCTGCTTTTTGGTTTGTTGTTTTTTTAAGACAGGGTCTGGCTATGTGGTTCAGGATGGCCTCGAACTCACGGTGATCCTCCTGCCTCAGCCTCCAGAGGGATGGGAACATAGGTGTGCGCCACCACGCCCGGCCTAGAATGCCTTTTTGAAAAGAAATTGTGGGAGCCAGCCATGTGGGTGCACACCTGTAATCCCAGTGCTGGGGAGGCTGAAGCAGGAGGATCAACGTGAGTTTGAGACACTCCCGGGCTACATAGTGAGTTCAAGGCCAGCCTGAACTGCAAAGCAAGGCCCTGTCTCCAACAAAACAAAACAAAACAGAAGTATAGGGGCAGAGATACAGCTCTGTGGTAGAGTTCTTGCCTAGCATGCACAACGCCCTGGGTTTAATCCTTCCACAGGTGGGGGGATGCAGAGCGATTTCTTTGCATAAGAAAGTGCTTATTTGTCCTGGGAATTTGGGACCCTTTAAATAGGGTGGAACCTTCCTGACGTGTTGGGATTCAGCTGCAGCTCTTGTGTTCCAGTTCTCGTTTAATATTTGGCCAAGGAGAAAGTCTGTCTGCTTTCTAACAGAGCTTCCCTTCACGGGCAGAAGGAGAGAGAGAGAGAGAGAGACAGAGAGAAAGTATTCTGGCCCTAATAATTTTTAACCCCCTTCCCCCTTCCCCCTGGCCCCTGGAGTAAAAGCAGCCAGGCTGGGGGCAGTGAGCACTGCTGCTAAGTCACTTGTTTCTGCGCCTTGGGCAGAGTGGCCGTCCTCCGCCTGAGTCTGATTTCCGCCGCTCTGTCCCCTGCTGGGTCTGGTCCTCAGCCCTGGGACCCGCCAGGCCGCTCCACCTGGACAGGGGCTTCTGGGAGCCAGGGTGTCTGTCTCTTCCGGCTGCTGTCGCTTTTTCTCTTTCCAGATGATTGCTGATCAATCTGTCCAACTGCCGGTACGAGAGTGGTGAGCACCTGCCTTGGGTCTGGGGTGGGCAGCTGCGGTCTCCCCCAGGGATGGGGAAGGGCCACTGCCGGGTACCCCTCTTCCTTAGTCCTCCTGTGTCCATGAGCTGCCTGAGGAGGTCGGGGATCTCATTCGGAAATCACAGGTTTTGCCCACAGTGCTGTGTACTTCAATCACCTGTCATTCCGTTCTTGTTTGTTTCTTGGGACAGGGTCTCGCTCTGTAGCTCAGGCTGGTGCTCTTCCTGCCTCAGCCTCCCGAGTGCTGGGATTCCGGGCGTGCTCCGCCATGCCTGGCCCAGCCATCCGTGATTCTTACATGTCATTTGAGGGTCTGATTTTAGAACACAAGTTCTAGGACGGCGGTCCATGGGCTCGACCTGGCCTACAGACTTACTTTGTACCATCAAGTACAGCGCTGCTGCTGCTGTAGTTTCAGGTTCAAGTTCAAGTGTCTTGTACCGCAGGCTCTTCCTTCCTGGGCCCTTGTAGGGTTAGGGTTAGGGTCAGAGCCAGTGCCCAGCCATTAGTCCTCACAGGGACACAAGGAGAGGATAAATCTCAGCTTTCAGAACACATCGTCTAATCTTGTGTTCCTGCCAGTTTACCTCCCTAATTGAGCTTGGCTCTGGCTGCTGTTAAGGATCAGTTTATATCCACTGAACATTCAGGGCTTAGTGTCTGGAGGGAAGCCAGCGGCCTGCTTTCTGGCAAGGGGAAGCCAGGCCAAGTTAAACATTTCACCCCAGACAATCTGCACCAGTCACCGGGCACCAGGTTTGGTTTTTGGAGACAGGGTCTTGCTATGTAGTTCAGGCTGGCCTTGAACTTGCAGAGATCCTCCTGCTTCAGCCTCCAGAATGCCAGGATCGCAGGCATGCACCGCCATGCCCGGTGGCACCAGTTGTCTTTTTCGGCGGCTTCAACACCGCAGGAGCGCGGCAGTGCGCCTGAAGCTGGTTCTCTCCCCGGGGTCCTGGGACACCCACTCCCAGGCTGAGGGAGCTTCTTCTCTCCAACCCCGCCGCAGTGCGCAGGGCAGCCCAGCAGTACGGCCTGCGAGAGGGCGGTGAGCATGACGACTGGACTCTCTGCTGGACGGACTACTCCTTGTCACTGGAGCGCGTGATGGAAATGAAGAGTTACCAGGTGCGGCCCGCGGGTTCTGTGTGGCGGCAGCCCCCACGCTCCCAGCCCCGGCTGGTCATGGGTCTCGGCTTCCTTCACAGAAAATCAATCACTTCCCTGGGATGAGCGAAATCTGCCGTAAGGACCTGCTGGCCAGGAACCTGAGCCGCATGCTGAAGATGTTCCCCAGAGACTTCCACTTCTTCCCCAGGACCTGGTGCCTCCCTGCCGAGTGGGTCCCAGCCCCCTGCCCCGCCCAGGCCCCCGCAGCCTCCCTGGTGTCTTCCCTGTCCGAGCCTTCAGCCTCCCTTCTGTGGAGGAAGGGAAGGGACCCAGGGTGTGTCCAAGGCTGAGGAACAGAAGGCTCTGGGCCGGGGCCTCAGCCTGCACCCGCGGTTAGGGTGAGGGTTTGTTCTGACCCTGACGCCTGTTGACTTTGAACTCATTCCAGCCATTTACCTGGACAGTTTCTCAATTTTCAAGAACCCCGAGCTCTCCTCTGGTTGTGTGTGAGCACCCTGGGTCTGAGCAGGACAGCTGTCCCCGGCCTCTGTCCCCTGCAGTGCCCTGGGTGGCAGTCAGCGTCCATTTTTCCCCATTTCAAAACTGGACAAGGGCCAGCTTCACAAGCACAAGGTCCTGAGTTCAATCCTCAGTACCGCCCCCAACAAAAACCCCCAACAAACAAAAAATAAGAGAAAAATAAAAACTGGACTTCCAGCCAGGTGCGGTGACATGCGTCTGTGATCCCAGCATTGGGGAGGCTGAGGCATGAGGATCACCAGGAGTTCAAGGCCAGCCTGAACTACATAGTGGACCCTGTCTCAAAAAAAAAAAAAAAAAAAAAAACAAACGGGGGCACGCAAGAGGGCAGGGGCGCCGCG